CCCCCCTGGAGCTGGTGCGATCAAGCCGGACAATGCTGTGGTCGGGCAGCCAGAAGCTGTCACCGGTCTTGAGGTGGGTCTCGGTGAGAAGGCCCACGTCGATGTCGTGCTTGCGGAGGAAGTCTGCAAGCTCAATGTTTTTCGCCCCTACGGAGCGAGCGTTCCAGTTGGCGATCTTTATGGGTTCACGGTCCATAATTAGCGACGAAGGAGATGATAGCTTGGAGCTGTTGTGTTCTTGTTGCGCAGGTGCGCTTGATGATGATGGCCTGGGCCAACAGTGTGACGATCTCATCCGTTGACAGCGGAGAATCGTCTGTAGCTTCACCGGTTGTATGAGCAGAGGCATGAGAGCAGCGCTGATTTATATCTTTTCAGGTTCAAGCAGAATGATGTACAACCAAGTGGTATTCGTTTATGATGACTGGGTTTGGGAAAAAGGCTTATTTCATGAAATCAGTGATAAAATTATCATTTGTACATTTTCAAAAGTTTAATTACAGAAAAATTGGATAAATATTTATTTCAACAGGTTTGTAATGTAATATCCCATCGATTGGCGTATTTGGATTTTAATTTCATCTATAAATGACAAAGTTACAAGCGTTCAAAACCTAACACTCCTTCACCACACATATTTTTGATTTGCACCCCGGTATAGTCGACAAAGACGTAGTTCTACGTCAAAACGTAGTGTGCGTCTTAGGATAGACTTTGTGTGTGCGGAAAATAAGCTAGACCAGGTAATGTGCTCGTTAAAGAAAATCTGTGCATTGTGCTTAATGTTCTTTTACCAGCCGACGGCTACGTTTACGTTTCCAACGTCATCATCTGAATAATCCCGGCAACCATCACCTTGTCCGGTGAAAAGCGATCCACATCTACATCGCTGAGCGGGGCTTTGTGGTTCGTCCACCCACGTGGAACTCGCTGGCCGTTCAACACCAACGGTCGAACGCGCATCGATTGAAGGTAGCATCGTCGCTGCGCCAGTAACAGCAGCGCAGCAATCATCAGCAGCTAAATCAACTGGTGAGTCCGTTCTGTTTTTTTCGTTGAGTGTGGCGTCCGGCGAGGGCGCCACGGAGGACCTTTTTTACCGACCATAAGGTCGAAGAGCATGAATTGCTAATATTTGGATTAGTCCAATAATTGTAAGGTTGGGGTGTCGGGAAGACAACCGTGCGAACGTATCGTCGTATATGGATGCCCACCCAACCCATCAATGTTAGACACCAGGGTGCTAAGCTTTGCCGTTCCCCGCTTGATGCATCGTCGTGGGATTCGTCAGGAAGAAACACAAGAGCACAGCACAGATAGAAGGTAGTTACTCACACAAGAATAGGACTAGGTAGAGAAAGATAATAAAGAGGAGTAGAAAAATAAAAGCAATGGAAACTTCATGAAAGCACGCTCTAGTTATAATAAAATCTAAGCTTACCGTTTTCCGTTATGAAATAAATGTTTGATTTGATTTCGATGTAATGTTGTCCTATTAAAAATTAGAATGAGAGGAAGAAAGTGTCTTCACGTTGTTTCGGGTCCGTGTAATTCTGTTGTTGTCTTCCGCGTGGTCGGAGTTTGACTTTATGTTGCGTACCTCTTTTGCTGCAACTGCGCCTCTGGCGGAAATAGGTGGAACTACCGATGAGGAAAGCTTGACGTGTAACGTCGTTTTAGGTTTGTGTGCTCTCTTACCGTGAGCTTTGGGGAAATATTTCGAGGTGTGAGAGATTATGCTGTTTTTGCAATAAGGGTTTCTACCCGTTCAAATTCAGTGGTAGTGAAGCTGGCTCGATCTCTTCTTTTTAGGAAGATTACTCTTGGACTCGCCCTGGGGCAGTCTCATCCGGGCAAACTCAACATGGTATGCGGTCTCCTTTACCGGAGCGGCGCTTAAGCCGCATACTTATCCGAGATCGACCAGTGACGGCTACACCGTCTTCGTCGAATTAGATACTAGATTGTTGCTTCTTCCATCGAAAATATCCAGCCGTGGCGATTCAATTTTGATCAAGATTGATCAAAATAATTTGTACCCCTGCTTCCAGTTTGAATACATGAGCATTTTGTGTGATCGTTAGTACTGAATATGGAAAAAAACAGGCAGATGAATTCTATTCCTACTCTTTACTGTAATAAGCTTGGTGGCCCTGAAAAGAGCCGTTTTGTTGCCAAAGTTGGTGATGATTTAACCTCCGAAACCAAACAGAGTGCGTCTCTCTCACTTCAAAACGTTGATGACATCCATGGCCGCTTACGCTTGGCGTGTTTAGTGTAGGTGACAGCATCACGGATCTCATTTTTCAGGAACACCTTCAGCACACCTCATAAATCAGACCGGAGATACGTCAGACACCGCCACGGCGAGCCAGACGACTGATGGTAGTTATCTCGAAGAATTTGCGTTTGGTTCTGAATATGGCGATGAGTGTGCAAAATATTACACAATTCCATCCTCCCTATTCGCACGCGCCCGAGGATCGGAGGCGAATGCCACTTCGACTTGTTTCTTCTACTTACTACTCTCTGGGGATTTTGTGCTGGGGAAGCAGCATATGCATGTAGGTAATTGGTGGATTTGTTAGTTAATTCGAAGCTTTTGGACAATGCTGGACATTTACCAGTTTTTCAATAGTTTCTTGTTGAAAATCAACATTCGGAAGCATTGTTATCGATGCGTAGCCATATTTCTGATCGATTGGTGATAACGTTCAAAATCTTTCTTAATTTGTTACATGTTCCATTTTCGGTTTTCACAAAGTGTATCCCCATATAGAAATCAAAGACGTAGTCCTACGTCAAAAGAGTTTACTTTACTTTCCCGTGCTTTTCTAACGGGAAAAGTAAAGTAAACGCTTTTATTCTTATGACCTATTGTTCAAATCAAAGAAACGGCTCAAAAGTTACACATACTAACTTTTAAACCACTTAGCAGAATTATTAGAATTGTTAATAGCACTTCAATTAAATCGAAGAAACGTCTCCAAATTTACAAATACAAACCTTTTTACCCTTTTTGGCGTATTCATCCCTGTTACGGCTCATGATCCTGTTCTCAACTGTTATTCGTGGAAACGACATTCAGCCTTTGAATAAATTATTTTGTATCCGTCACTTCCGTTTCCCATTCGGTGATGATTAACTTTTCTGTCTGGGTTATCCAAGCAGCTATCATTCATGTTGGCGACTAATTGCTGCAACAGCAATGCCGTCACCTTTATGAATGATTCTGAAGTTCGATTGTCGACAAAGTGTCCTGTGAACTCCTGGTTTAAATCGGTCATCAATTTGACATACCCTTCGCTTTCCTCACGGATCAAATTGAACCGACGTTGCAGGTAACTTAAAACAAAATTATCTTTCAAATGTTCATAGAAAATCAACACTGAATTAACCCTTCGATACTCACTAAAGCTTCGTTTTCACATTGATGAACTTGGTATCAAAACTTCTATTCTTGAATTTCCACACAGCGTGTAAATTTGTAGGTATATCTTCAGCAGCTAATATGACAAAAGTAGTTTTGATTCTATTACGATCTGAGGAAAAATTGCAGAATTATAACTGTCGATTAATGGGGGTGAGAGGGCTGCAACTTGGACCTGAGACTTGATTGGTGCAAAGTCAATCTGCTTAAAGCAATTTGCTGAAGTTAGAAAAATACACTGAACGAATTCCTAGCCAGTATAAGAACTTAGTATAATTTTAATAAAACAAAATAATCGATTACAATAATTAAAAAAAAAAAATAATCGAATCAATGTATAAACATTGCTTGAACATCTTTCTTTGCGTTGCAATATTTTTGAGTGTACCTTCCATTTGGGGGATGTTGCGTCCAATTTCGTGAAGTGGTTACTGAGAAACACTTTATTTCAAAACAAACATACATACATATACGCATAGACATGTTCTGTTCTGGTCGAGATAAGTCGATTGGTATATGTCACTCGGATTGAAAGTCGGTTTTCTAAGCGGTGTGCATCTCCTCTTTGTGCTGCTTGTAACTAGAGTCGGTGTATAATGAGTCACGCCAAGAGAAAAACAGTTGAACTCGCATCACGGTTTTCGAAAGATTCCCTTTCTTTTCACTTGGCAACAGAGGACTGCTACATCAACTTCAAATGACTTCTAGCGAGCAAAAAAAAGTAGCGCCTGTTGTAAATCATTATATCAGTGATTTTGTCCAATCATCTTAACAAAAAATAGTAGAAATTCTCATTACTGATCGTTACCAAACGTATCATATGACGATTCAATGTTCACTGCGTGTATATGATCATTTCTTCGATCATATTTTATATTTTATTGCAATACCTTTCGTGGACCTTTCATAGCATCGTAATGTTTGTTTACTTTGCACGATAGGTAGCCGGTTTGACAGTTCAATAGGTAGACTTGGCTTCACTCTTGGCGTGACTCATTATACACCGACTCTACTTGTAACTAAACAAAGAGAATCATGACAACAATTAAAAAAAAAAAAACATTGTTAAAAAAATGAGAGGTTATGCAACTTAAAGATGCCAAAAGAATAAAACTACATGTTAATAAAAATTGGAAATCTTTTTCAATTGTTTGAAATGATCAGTACCATCATGCATTTGTTTAAATATAGTTTTAAACAATCATGTAACTTTCATAATTTGGTTTATAGACTTCTCTGACGTTTATGAATTGCACAAGTATTAGTGCAGAACTTTGGTGAATTCAAAAGTTTTCTTGCACTAATACTTATAATTTACCCCAAGTTCTGCACTAATACTTGTGCATTTCACAAACATCATAGAAATACCTATATACCTAAAAGGTGAATCAACCTTCCCTATACAACACCAATAGCGACGAAACAGTCAGCTAAGAAAGTAGTCCTTCTCAAATGCGGAACAGCGTCGTCAACGAGACTGCCTTCATTGTAGGTTCCCCTTATGCTTTCAAATTCGTTGCATCATGATTTCGGAGAAAATAAACGTTAACCTGCATTATTGCAATAAGTTATATTTTGATCAGTGCATATTTTCTAAGGCCCTGAAGAACGAGACTTTCTTTACGCGTACCTTAGCTCGCATCTGTTCTGCCAGTGTGGTGTACCGTTCGTTGAGAACATATCGTTTTTGTTTATCTCGGAAAATCAGCGTCGTTTTACGTCCGTCCAGATATACGGACCACCGCTTACCACTCCTGTGACTGTTTCTGGCTGTCGTTTTAATGTACGGGCAGTAGAACGTTACGCTGCTGTAGGTTTCGGGTTTGCCTTGCTATTACAAATAGAAATAATAATGGTAGTTTAAGAAGATTTTAATTATTCACATATTTGGAGTCTTACCATGTCTTGTTTGATTTTCAGGCAGAGCAGTCCTGGTTTCATTAGAAACAATCGATAGCTTGCATAAGATCCTTCAAGCTTCACGATTTCGGAGTATTGTACGAGCTCAATTTCATTTAGGAAGTCAACGTCCATAATCAGCTGTCGAATGTAGTAGTTTTCGTTGATTCGCTGTCTAAGCAGTGAAAGTTGACTGTGCACGTAATGGATCTTGTAATCGAGAACCGTATTTCTGAGGATGACTTCCCCTTTGGCATCGTGAACGTCGTTGTGGATTCCTTCGAAGAACTCATAGCACCTGTTTATAAACTCAACCGGCAAGAGTAGAAATGCATCAATTGACAAAAAGATCACATTTTCCTCTCTGGGTAATCCAGTGAAATATTGTTCGAAACTCATTAGGACAGCTTCTGCGGATTTAGAGCGTTCGACGTAGCGAAGGTAAACATCAAATTCAGACTGTCTCAGGCTGTCATGGAATGTATCACAGAAATGGGTAAGATTTAGTTCTGAATTTTGATGTAGGCTCTCTTCGAATAAGCGGTAGTTGATTTTTTGTTGCATTTTGAGAATTTCCTCCAATATTTCACTTAACTCTAGCAACTGTTGCCGAACATCATTTGGAAGGGAGTAAATATAGAAATATATGCTATCCTTAAGAGCTTTTTCGTAGTACTGATGGTAGCTGACCATTTGATCAAGCTCGTCAGTGTTATTCGCAAGCTGAGAGTTATTATCAATGCTTGTGATTTCATCGCTACAATTCTGACCACAAGTGTTATAATAGCTAAAACCACTCGAAACACTAGATAAACTACTCCTGTTGCTATTGTAATGATGCAAAACAGAATTTCTTATTATTGTCAACTCTGTGCTTTCAATTATAAAGCTTTCCTTCTTCTTGCGCTTGGAAATTATTGATCGTAGAAGCTCAACTATTGTAGCAAGACTTGCAGCTTCTGGATTCTGAATGTTGATCTTGACTTCTATTGAATGATGCTCATCTTTTTCCGAAAAAATCTTCAGAATTTGCAGATTGCTAAAATCATAACACACTTCATGGTGATCGAAATGACCACGATAGCTTAGAGTTTTCAATTTCAGCTGTTCAGTATAGATTACGCATCGCTCAAAGATAAACAACTTTCCCTGATACTGACGTCCTAGTCGTAGATCGTTGAAAAACACCAGAAACACTTTCTTAAACTTGCCCTGATGTAAAATGTTGATCTGAAAAGTAACAAATCAATTAATAACGCGAAGACACTACTAAGACACCCAGGTATTACCGGTTTACATTTCTCCAAGTTTTCGGAGTCTCGGGGGTACAGGAAGAGAATTTGATTCTCACTGTTCTGTTCTCGAAGCACCGTGGCTGGTTTAGGAACACCGAACCCTAGTTCAACTTCGTCATCTTCTGTTTTCTCACATTCCACAATATCGTTCACTGCCATAGATTCATTCTGTGTAGTGATGAATTTCTCCATCAACTGTTCTGCTTTGAGAACCGAATCCAGCTGGATGCTCGATTCATGGTTTGCGTTGGATCCATTAGATTGCAATACTTTCACCATACTTGCGAGTAGGAGTCTGTACCTTGGTAACCGTTGGATTGGCTGAAGAATCAAACTTTTAACGCCAAGCTTATCACCGCTATAGTTTTGATGATCCTCGAAGAATCGTGCAAACTGTACACACAGTCGTTGAGACTTGGGATTGTACAAAGAATAGAGAACATATCCGTAGAATGAATCGTTTTCCAGATATTTGCAAAACACTTGTGCTACTTTTGTCACGTCCTTTCCGCATGCAGTCAATTTCGGGAGGAGGATTGATTTGTGAAATTGGTGAATGTACTCAATGTTTCCGAAGAGATGATACTTCATGTTGACCAGCTGCACAGGGATAGGAATGGTATCGAATACGTTGTTGATGTAGGTGGAAATACCTTTTTCCAATATGTTAATGTAATTTCGTTCAGTTTCCAGCAGTTCTTCTATGAGATACGCCAATTTTCTGAAAGAAATAAATTTGAAATAACAATGCAAATCTACGTTATGGTAACACATCTAATCTTACGTAGAATTACCATCAACCTTATCTGGATCTTTGATCGTGATAAGGTCTATTTCACTAATCGAGGTCAACGGTGCTTCTTCTGCTTCGAAGAACACGGAATCATCCGATTCGCTAAAACCATCGTCTGCTTCGTTGCTTTGTTCCTTCTCCCTAGACTGGTGGTATCCATGTACTATATAGTGAACGTAGTCTCCCGGCCACTGCAGTGATATTATCATATTACAAGCTTCGGCGAAACTCTCACAATAATCTTCCTCGTAGTCCCTAAAGAGAGAATGGCATTTGAGATGGCATGCTTTAGGAAAGCTATACATGTCAACTTACGAATCATTAGAATTCAGGTAGTCTGCCTTTTCTTTCGAAAGTTGAAGGTAGATGAACTCGTTGTAGCAATCACAAATGTCGGACACATCCGGAAAGGGTTCTTCCTTCAATGCATCTTCAATAGGCTCACTATCGTCAACTAGTTCGCTGAGTTAATTGTGAAATCAGCAATTTGGAAACAATTAAAAAATTCAATAAATCAAATTGAAATAACAGACTAATCGAGCTGCAAGACAACCGATACAGGATTAAAGTAGAAGGATCTGTGCCTAGATGTAGTACCGTGATTGGTCGGTACAACTGTTTTTGCGTTGTTCAAGAGTTTATAATTTTGCAAATTTTGGGCCTTGGAGGAATACACTCAATTATGTTTTACCGATATGTGATCTAATATTGTAACCAAATTTAAAGCAATTTGTTTCAAAAACAAAATTGAGTGTACACAAGTTGCCAAGATTTCAGATTTGAATTATTAAAATTTAATATACTGGGCCTTGAAAAAGCGTCAAGACTCTTTTCTACACTTCTATTAGAATTTTAAAGAATATTTTAGAAAAATATTGAAAATGATTTCTCAGGACGATTGTAAAGGAGCTTAGATGAAAACTTGAAGTATTTTCTGGGAGCTTTCCTGTAGAATTGTGAGATGAATTCGATGGGATTTCTGATGAGGATAGTTCCATACCAAGCCTTAGAATTTTTGCAAGCGAATCCTGAGGATAATTTGAAAGAAATTCCAAGAAAAGAATTCTAATTATTCTCTCAATTTTGTTCGTACCATCACAGCAAGCAATTGTAATTTTTGCTGTGATCTCGGTAAAATTTGTTACCACTCGACTGTGTACGAATCAGCAAAAAATTTCCGCGATGTGAACAAAAAATATCTGAAATTGAGAAATGTGTTCATTATTTATCGAAGATTATTATGCATTTTTGTATTGGATTCACAGGTTACTATTTATTATTCATTCCATCAATCAATTCGATTGAAAAACACTATTCGACTATTTTTATATTTTCAAGAAAATGAATAAATTGGGTCGTATGAATGAAGAGAGCTAAGTAAAGGCTTCCGTGATTTTTTTTATGGTTATAGCAAACACTTTTATTCAAACGGCCTTTTGCATTGAACTTAGATTTAAGCAAGTAGTTTTAAAAATCCGAAGCTTTTAAAAGGGCATATGAATTTTATATTTATCATCAAGTAAAAATAAATAAACATATCAAATTTAAGATTTCAAGACTGAAATAGTCTAGCTCAGCATTCATTAAAACATCCAAGTCTAAAATGATTTGAAAACCATCTAAACACATTATTAAGTAAGTTGAAGTTTACTTTGGTCCGATGTCCAACAATTGAAACCCATTGTTTTACGCACCATTTCAGATTAATTTTGGGCTACAAAATGGCGAGTTGACAACCTGAAAGGAGCGGAATACCTAGCTCTGGTAGGACGGGAGGCAATTCCCCCGCAAGGATATCCACAATGCCACCTGGAGGTAGCCTGACCAACACACAGAAAACCAAATCGATCACATTCTATTCGACGGGAAATTCTTTTCCGACATTATCAACGTCCGCACGTACCGCAGTGTGAACATAGATGCGGACTACTACTTAGTTGCAGTATGCATGCGCTCAAAACTCTCGACGGGGCATAACACCCGTCGAAGTCGAAAGCCGCGACCCAACATTGACCAATTACGGGACGCCGGAGTTGCCCAGGATTACACATAGCAGCTGGAAGCTGCACTACCCACGGAAGAGCAGCTTGGCGCAGCTACTCTTGAAGATGGCGGAAGGTACATCCGTTCCGCCATAGGTAGTACTGCTGCAGTGACACTAGGTACTGCAATCCTGAATCGAAGAAATGACTGGTTTAACGGCGAATGCAAACTGTTAGTAGTGGAGAAGAATGCAACACGGGCGAGAATGCTGCACGAGATTGAAAGTGGAGCGATACAGACAAGCGCGGAACAGACAAAACTCGGTTTTCTGAAAGAAGAAACATCAGCAGGAAGACCGAGATCGCGAGGCGATGGAAAATCTGTACCACGTAAACGACACAGGAAAGTTCTACGATAAGCTAAATAGTTCGCGCATAGGCTACGTGCCGCAAGCCGATATGTGCAAGGACGGTAACCTTCTCACGAACGAGTGTGATTGAGAGTTGGAAGCAGAACTATGACGAGCACCTCAACGGTGATGCAGCAGAAAACGAAGGTGGCACGGCAACAGACCTTGGAGCATGCGCAGAAGACGACAGGCTATCGGCCCCTGATCTTCAAGAAGTTGAGGAGGAGATCGGTCGGCTGAAGAACAACAAAGCGACTGGTGTAGATCAAGTACCAAGTGAGCTATTAAAATACGGTGGTGAAGCACTGGCTAGAGCGCTGCACTGAGTAATTTTAAAAATTTGGGAGGAGGAGATGTTACCAGAGGAGTGGATGGAAGGTGTCGTATGCAAAATCTACAAAAAGGGCGACAAGTTGGATTGCTGCAACTACCACACGATTACACTGGTGAGCACCGCCTACAAGGTACTCTCCCAAATTCTATGCTGCCGCCTGTCACCATCTGCATGTGAGTTCGTGGGGCAGGGAGGTGGAATTCATGGGTGTTCACACTACCACGGACCAAATTTTCGCGAATACAACGTGCCCACACATCATTTGTTCATCGATTTCAAATCCGCATACGACATCAACGGTCGAGATCAGCTATGGCAGATTATGAACGAGTACGGATTTCCGGATAAACTGACGTGATTGGTCAAGGCGACGATGGATCGAGTGATGTGCGTTGTTCGAGTGTCGGGAACACTCTCGAGTCAAGGTAATGGACTTTCGTGTCAACATCGCGTTAGAAGGTGTGATCAGAAGAGCTGGGATAGACACGAGTGGCACGATCTTCATGAAGTCAATCCAGCTTCTTGACTTTGAAACGATTGCGGAAATGTTCATCAGACTGAAGGCTGAAGCTAGGCGGATTGGACTTGCCATCAACGCATCAAAGACGAAATACATGAGAAGAAAGTAGAAGAAGTGGCGCGCAGCGGGCAAGGTGGATCGACTAAGTAGAAGGCAACCTGCGGACCTTTCGCAGACTACGAGGCTGGCGAAGTGTGGTCGTAGATTGAGTAGAGTGGAGATGACTTCTTCGGACAGCAGAGGACAACATGGCTTTAGCCTGATTGGTAAGTTAAGGTAAGTATTCAAATTGACTTTGTCCGCGGTTATTTAAAGAAAGATCATTACGTAGATTCAGAGATCGTCTGAAAAAAAAACACGCACATAACTAAAGATGGTTGTGCTGGGTGCTATTAGTCTCAGTGCTATTAGTCTTAGTTTTTCCAGATCAAGAGACCAGAGAGCGTCATTGCATCTCACCCAAAGGGTCTTGGTTCAATCCCAATCGGTGCCGCCGGGTATTTTCTAAAGCATCAAATCTCTGATCACGCCTTCATTCGGAAGTAAAGCCGTTGGTCTCCGGTCCATGAGTTGATGGGTTGATATGTAGGGTCCAGGTGTGGGAGCTGCCTGCCACACCGTCGGTAGCATTGGTACTTAGTACGGAAAGCGGGAAATAAATCAAGGAAACAAAAACTATAAGGGACATTGGGGTTGTACGCAATGGTCACATAGGACTACGTAGTCTTATATAATAAATGTTATTTGTTAACTGCAGCAGAAGCTTGTGTTTGGTGTAGGAATAGGGTTCTCTCTGTTTATTTTCTTTAGTATGACGCCCTTGGCAAAGATGGCTCACAGCGACTCATGAAGAGCTACTGATTCCGATCAATAGCGGTGCGGCTACTTCCTCCTTCTATGGATGCTCATGTGGGCTACAGCTTTCGTTGTATAGTGGAAAATAATGTTCAACGCCACGCGCCGAAAGCACTGCTGCTGCTGATGCCGACGACCGGACACCACCACACACGGTGATTGGAACTGAATCCGATCAGCGGTTGAGGCCAGCCTTGATAGCTAGCTGCTGGTTGGGAGGCTTTCGTTGTGTACTGGAGAACGCCACCACTCACGACGTGGTCATTGAAAAAACTACGTTTGGTGAGACCGTTTGGAATTCAACTTTGAAATCTGTGTTAGGAAAATCGCTTTTTGCCGGCAATCGGTGATAATTTTAATTATCATAGCAACAGTAGCACATTCGTGCAATTTTCAATGGTAACATTTTGAAAAATGATACATTCTTAAATTCAACAGATACGTAGAAATATTTCTTATCGATTGGTGATAATATGATTGACATTGGTCCAGGGGCAGTTGAGCTATTAACGTTCAAAATCTTTCATAATTTTGTTACATTTTCGGTTTTCACAAAGTGTAAATATAGAAATCACAGACATAGTCCTTCGTAAAAAAAGAGAGCCCAGAGAGAGCACGCCCAAATTTAGAGAGACGTGCGGTGTTGGTAAGAGAGCACAAAACAAAATACAAGATTAGCTCATTCCGTTATAAACAGCTCCAAAATAAATGTAAACAATAAAAAAAATCCGCAATATTTCACTTCACTAAATCTTTTAAAATTGTGAATTTTAGTATATAAGCACATTCTGCATTTTTTATGAGCACTAGCTTACACAGTTCGAAAAAGTAGTGTAAATTTTTATTCAATATGATGCACATAAATGGAGCGTCACATATCATATAAGTTTACATTATATATCATGCAAAGTTCTGAGACATTTCATGCTATGTAGCAAATATTGTATACAAAAGCCCATTGTTGTAAACTACATTGTTTACAAGTTGCTCGGTTGCGTGAGATGAAATACAAGTTTACATGAATGAATGTTTACATCACAATTAAAATTCAGAATTTTTATCTGGGTCACTTAATTTTTGACGTGCAAACACGCTGCTCGTAGATTTGTTAGTGTTTCTTTCGTTTGTTCGTGCGGTTATATTTGCTGCTATCAGTTAGTTTAGCATAACTTAGCATACAATTTCATTGAGAAATTTGCATGAACTAACCATCGCTGTCGTACTGTGGGTTCCATTGACATTATAAACAAAACATACCGTGCTAAAAAACGATATAATAGGGTTAAGGGTTAAGGGCTAATGTCGGATTAAGTGTCCCTTATATTGGGCCCATTTGTATTGTCCAGATTGAAGCACAGGAT